TTTTTTTGGGAACTTGTAAGCACGACGGTCAAATACCACCCGTGTTGTGCATTCGAATTTGATTGCAAATGACCGCAGCATAAGGCATTGCTCAAAGCTGCCGTACCAGCGCCTGCTAACGCCCTGGATCATCAATGGACACGTGGATGCGATCTGCACGGTGCTGGCACGTCGCTGGCACAGATTCGGCTCGATCGGCTCTGAATGCCTGATAACTTTTCGACAAAAATCTCTGGGCACAACAACATAATACAAATTCTATTCAGATTACAAGCAAGAATGCGATCGACTTGACAAGCGATTCGTGTCACGACCACCTGAACCGTTGACGATTCCGACTGTGGATGGAACTTACGATGCTCGACGACTGAACGAACATGCTAAACAACAAGCAGAGAAAGCACAACTGCTTCGATGTCGAAAATGCTATGCAAAGGTTTCGTTGAGGGAAGCTGATGAACATAATTGTGGCAGATTTGATCCTCCTGTTGAGTTTTATTTCTAGAAAACTTTAGAATTCAAAATATCAAGCTTAGATGGGTTGACCTTCTTTCATTCGTCATTTAGATATTTTCAACTGGTTTTGATCCTTGGTACCTGCCGCTAGTGCATCATACTAGTCAGAATTTTGTTATTTTCGCTTCACTGTCCGCCGAAGCCACATTTTCCAAGAAAAATTCTGAGATCTTTATATCTTTCTTAAGCCTTACAGATGTGATTGATTATTGATAGGACTAGCTATGATGTGATTTTCATGCTCATACATATTAGTAGCAGTTGAAGCAAGTTACGATGGATAGAAACACCAAAATTGTATGTTAGAAAAATTGTGTAAAATCTCGTCGTTTCAGCGCTTGAATAAATCGAATTTGCTCACGGACTTACTCTGTTTGTGTGACAGGCTATTGACGGAAATTTTTACATCTATAAAATCAATAAATATTTATCAAATTCGCAGTGCATGTATGTATAAACAAGATGTATATACAATATGTATAAACAAGAGGTTGCTCATCCTTGCGTTGTAGATGATGAATTTGGTTCGGCGCATAATTCAAGGCACATTCCTACACCGTTTTTCTCGTTCTGATTCTGAAAAGGATTTTTCAGTTCAAAGCCCGTTGATCTTTTTCTCTATAGAATACTGTTACGTACAGAGTTGCACGTGCTAGCGCCGTGCCAATCATGTTCCACAGGCGTGCTCGCGCCGTGTTGAAACGTTGATCGATCGATATAAAACACTGAAACGACGCTGGCACGGCGCCATTGCGCTGTCAACTCTGGAGCCTAAAGATTTTATGATGAGATTTTGCAAAAGGAAAGGCGGGTCTGTCTTGATTTTTTGGAGTAAAAAATGATGGAAATTTTGTGAAAAATGAATTTTTTGTTTTTTATTGACTCCTTTTTAGTACAATCTAGTAACGAACGAGCGCCTGACATAATCAAGATGGATTATGCATGGAATGAAAACACAATTCGTCCAAATTTGATTAAAAATTCATTTTCACATCAATCAAATTGCTTGCTGCCGCCAAAATTGCCAAGAACCCTCATAAGCGAGCTTTTTCTTTACTTTTTGCTCAAAGAATTTTTCGATTTTTGTGTTTTGAACTAACCATTGTCAAACATAGAACTCATTTCCTCCTGGAGGTACCTGTTGGCTCATCACCGCCTTTGACACCTCGTATGATGATGAACTTCGTCGACAAATCATGACACAGCAAAAGAACAAAACTGTTGCTACACAGATGGCGGCTCCGATGGCAGCTAACCACTGCCAGAAACCTACCATACCTGGAAAAAATGATTATATCTCGCAAACTGATCTGCTTACGAGACGATACGGTTTTATGCGAAAGTGCTAAATGCAGTAGAAGGGGAGTAAATATTTCAGATGCCATTTATTAGATACAGCAGCTTCTTTTAGGATTAGGGAAGAACATTATTGTGTTCCTTCAATATAATTGTCAGAAAACGTCAGAGAAACACAAAACTCTGTATTTCATAGTCGTAAATTGTCTACGATTATGAAAGAAGGCGATCGACTTATGAAGATTCTGAAAACAAATTTACATATAGGCAGAGTGCGAAAGCCAATTTGCAAAAAAACTTGAAGTTATGAAAGTTATATTATGTTCTCCAAAAATATGTGAATGTACAGCTTTACCAGTTGTATTTGAATTTTCAAGGTAACTTCAAATATATCCTACTTCCTCAGCGAACCTGGGGAACATTTAGAAAGCGATCGTTTGATAAAGAAAAGGGACAAAGTTTAGTATTAGAATTGCTCTTACTAGTAAGAGTTGAGAAAATTGAAGACGGAAAAGAGGTAAATAATGAAAACTAATAAAAATCAGTAATTCTAGGCTATTATATTTGTCTTAGCTATATTTATTTCATCATTTCTTTCGTTATATTTGAACGTTTTTGTACCCCTAACACAGGTGGCATGCAGAGCGCAAGTGAAATAAGATAGTACGATAAAAGTGAATTTTTTAAGCGCCGTAAAGACCTGTTGCTCTGGGCTCATGAACGAATATGATGGATGAAACGAATTTATCTAATTAGCCATATATGAAAAATAACTAATTGGTGACATGCTCATGAGCGTCATTTCCCTTCAGCCCGCCTCCTCTTCATCCATCTGAGCCTTTAGTACGTCAACACTGACGTTAATGATGGGTGGAATAGGGTGGGAATC